GAGAGTATAAACAAAAGATACTGAATTTGAAACAATGTTCAGGCCTTCTTTACTTTGCAAAACTGTTATATACTTGTGTTAGCGCACAAAAAACATTCCACGACTGTGATGTGGTCTCAAACACAAGCTGAAGGTGAGTGATGATTAACAGCTGCAAACACATGTATTTAATATTAGCATTTTCTTCTGCCAAAAAAGTAGTTCCAGCAGCTTAAAGTAGAGCAACTATTGTAATTGAACAATGGATGTTCAGTGAAATGATGCAGTTTTGGTAAAAACAGTATTATCAGAAATATCAACATGGGCAGAACTCTTTTCCACCAATCAGATTGAAGCTAACTGTTGTATAATTTGGCCATTAAGCACAGTGACTGAATGCAGGGGGAGCCTGCAAAACAAGAGAGGTTATTAACGGTGAAACGACAGCGTGACCACAGCATCAGACAGCACAGCACAGGGTGTTCTTTCTTCCCCCAACTGGAAGGAAAACACCCTGTGCTGTTTAACCACCAAAACACATCACTTCTCATTCATTTCATTCCTAACAACCAAACAAGACCTGGTAGACCACCAAAACTGTCACTATCAGACAAAAATCAAGCTCCCCTCTTGCTTCAAATCTGAAAAACTTCACAGGTGTTTCTGTCCATCCTTCCACTGTGAGAAGACAACTCAACACTATGGGTCTGAAAGGATGAGAAGTTGTGAAGATGCCTTTACTGAAAAAAGAAGAATCAGAAAAAAAGAAGAAAATCAAACAAAGAAGCTGCTGGTGTTCTCAGAACAATGGACTGACCACCCCAGAGTCCAGACCTCAACATCACTGAGTGCGTTTAAGATTATTCAGATCATGAGAAGCAGAAAATGCAACCAACTTCTAAGACTGAACTTTGGAAGTTTGGAAAAAAAATCCCTGCAGATTTCTTTAACCTGGAAGCAAGTCTCCTGAAAATAATGGAAGCTGTAATAAAGGCAAACTGTGGACACATTAAATACTGAGTATTTTGAAATTATATTCGAGGCTTCTATGTAATTATCTGTTACATTCTACTAACTTGTGCTTTCCTTCTGATGCTGAAAAATGAAAAACTAGTATTTAAAGGCTGATTTGACTGAAAATTAAATAGATGAATGGTGGTCTAGTTACTGAATGATTAGTCTCAGGATTACTAACTAAAGAATAAGCCTAGAGTTTAAGGTTTTTATTTTGTAGTATTTAAATGAGAGTGTGAATAAAAAATAAAAAGTTACCTCTGAGGTGAATATTCAGGTTAAGCATGTAATAATGCAAACCAGCCAACACTGTGTGCATGTTCGCATGCAGTGATGTGTGTGTGTTGTGTGCATGTGCGTGCGTGCATGTATTTCTGCACCTGGGCGGTTAACTCTTCCTCTCCTTCTTCCTCACATCACTCCCCTTCCTCACAGACAGAAAACACAACTCAGACACACACTTCCTGCACCAGCTCAAACTCTTCTCCTTCACATTGCGGTCAGACATGTGAATCTTTTGCTGAGGTGCAAAAGCATTTCTAACTGCACCGCAACATGGCCTACAAACTAGACGCAAGTCACTGAAATACCACCATTGGCAATTTCAGTTACAACTGTGGTGCAATATTGTGTTTTCCAGTAGTTCAGCTTTAGGATAAACAGTTCCGTCCATTTTAGAGATACAGAATAAGGAGATAACAGGAATTATAATGGTGAAGCACTATTTGCATTTAAAAGCAACGCCTTAGATTTACTTGGTTCAAATGTCTACACCATTTGCACATGAATAAAATACAGTGAGAGACAAACATATTCATAATCTTGGTAGTCCAAATCAAAGGATGAGCACATAATGTCAGCTTTTTTTCTAGGCAGTTAATCTTTATCAAAATGATGGGAAAGAAAAACACTGGGGAAAGAGAATTATTCCACATTATCCAAAGTGCAACACTTTATCTGTATGAAGCATGGCGGAGGTAGTGTCATGGCTTGGAAATCTGTTTACTGTTCTTTATTGATAACTGATGATGGCATTAATGTCTCATACATAATTTTTTTTGTCTTCCCATGTCCACCAAACTTGCCCCCAAACTCACTTGGCAGAAGTTCATAATGCAGCAAGAAAAAAGTTGGGACGCTGTGCAGAATGTAAATAAATGATATGCAGATCAAATAAACCATATTTCTAAAGGAAAACACTACAAAGACAACGTATCACATGTTGAAACTGAAAAATTGTATTGTTTTTTGAAAAATATATGCTCATTTTGAATTTAATGCCAGCAACATGTTCCAAAAAAGTTGGGACGGGGGCATGTTTACCACTGTGTTTCATCACAGTTCTTTTAACAACATTCTGTAAGCATTTGGGAACTGTGGAGACCAACTGCTGCAGTTTTGAAAGTGAAATGTTTTCCCATTCTTGACCATTCTTGTTACTGACCTGTTGCCAATCAACCACCAGGTGTTTTTTTTAGCATTACACAACTTTACCAGCCTTTTGTTGCCCCCGTCCCAACTTTTTTAGAATGTGTTGCTGGCATCAAATTCAAAATGAGCATGTATTTTTCAATAAACAATAAAATTTCTCAGTTTCAACATTTGATATGTTGTGTTTGTACTATTTTCAGTGAAATATAGGGTTTAAATGTTTTGTACATCATTGCATTTTGTTTTTATTTACCTTTTGCACAGCGTCCCAACTTATTTGGAAATGGGGTTATACATCTGTTTTCTTTGCTGTGCACTGGACTCTAGTAAAATTGTATATTGATTAGATGACATATAAAGCAGTGCTTGGTTAAAGCACCCTACTAGGTTTTTGTAAGTGGTGATGATGATCGTTTGTAACCCCCCTTAAGGTCACAGGTCCCATTTTTTCTGTTTTACATGTTATTCATTTAACATATTGTTTCATTTCATGTGAAGCTGCCTTTTAAGTTCCTGAAAGTGTTATAATAGCCTTGCCGTGTCAGCGTGCATAAACACACACTTGCACACAAAACATGCTAGCTTGTGTTTGTAGCAGATAAAGTCAAAGTCTGTGCTCATGTAGCTTCATTACAGATAGATCCTTTACATGACCTGCATTGATAAGCAGCAGTGTGTCCTAATCAAATCATTGTTCTATCTAGATCTATTTACAGAAAGTGGACACACGTGCAGACAGTCACGTGCAGACAGTACTCCTTATCTGTTATTACAGTCCTGCAAGGGCCAGATCCACTTTGCTATCAACTCCAGTAAAGCAGTCTAGTTCCTGCAGCGTTATCAGCCACCAATAACACTGTGATTCCATCAGCACTGTGACGCAGCACTGTATAACAACAAAAAACATCCAGAAGGCCTCCTTACAAACTTACACAATGAACAATAAAATCAATAAAGTCAGTACAATAAAGTCAATAAAGTAGTTTTTATCCGTCTGCAGTTCAAATCGGGATGACCTAAATTTGATTCACAGGAAACACAAAGCAATTTCTTGAACACATACAAAATACACTATTTGTCCAAAAGTTTGTAGACATCTGAAATCAAAGGTATTAAAGTAGAGTTTCTCCATCGTTGTTGTTGTCGCAGGCTCTACTCTTCTGGAAAGGCTTTACAGTAGATGTTTACACTAGATGTTTAAACTAGATATATTGCTCCACTGCTCCATATCCCAAAGCTGGGGGGCTTTATACAGCTCAAGCCGATGCTTGCCACTGAGCATGATGACCTTAGGCCTTAGGCATGATGACCTCGAGAGCATCTCAAACTGCTAGCAATGCCTTTATATGAAGATTATACAAGCTGTGTTTTTCACAATTGAACTCCTGCATCAGCAATAAGTGCTTCTTAAAGTAGCTGAAGTGATGTCTGGATACTTTTGTACATACACTCTTTAAAAAGATGGCTCTTCTAGGGTTCATTAGTAAAGACAATGATTCTATTCATGCACTCAAATAACTATTTGCCTGCTTAAATGGTTCTTTGCATGGTGAAATCGTTCAGATTGATGGTGAGTTGTATATGGTTCTATATAGCACCAAAAGGGTTCTGCTATTGTAACAATGTCAAGCCTGTAACCATAGAAGAATTCTTTATGGTGCTATAAACAATTCTTTTGAAAAAGGTGCTATATAGAAACATATACAACACATTCTCCACCAATCTGAAGAACATTTTTACCATACAAAGATGAAAAGATTTAAGCGTGAAATGGTTCTACACAGAACGGTTGACTTTGCTTAAGGACCCTATCTATACCATAGAGTATAAGTGAGTGGTTCATATAAATTAAATCTATTCTAGACAAATGTACTAAATAACAATGTCAAGGTCCAGTAATTACTGATATAAATTTGTAATAATAAAGTGCTAAAGTGCTTAATAACAATGTAATAAATTAAAAAGTCGAAAACACAATCATAACTTTAATTATTGATCTCACGCCATATGTATGATTCAGCTGTACTCTGTGACAAAGGAATACAATTAAAATTGTATTCTTCATTTATCAGTGCTCAACCCAGACACAATGTTATATCTTTTCAGACAGTTTGAGTTTCGTCCAAAGGATTTTATTTATCTCATCAAACAGATTACGTTTTGTTCAAATTAAACAACCAACGAAAAAAAACTTTTGTTAGATATATCTTATCCTGACAGATCAGTTCTACCACCATCCCCCACTCAAAAAACATGAAGGCGGGAAACTTTTTTTTAATGTTGTTTTAGCACAGATCGAGCTTCAGCCCTGAAGACAAAACACTTTCACAGAGCACTTTCTCTCTCTCTCATTCTCCTTTTTCAAATTAGAGCCTGAACACAAAAGGTGGAACTACCAACTTTAAGGAACGCAGAACCTCTCTCTCTCTCTCTCTCTCTCTCTCTCTGTTTTCTCATTTTTTCTTCTCGGTCTCTTCAAGTCACGTTGCATGTCAACGTGACTCGGGCCGTTTGGCCGAGAGCCAATGACAAACGTGACGCGAGCAAAACACGAGAAAGTGTGTCACATTCAGGAGAAGAGAGAGAGAGAGAGAGAGAGAGAGGGTAAGTGTGTGAGTGAGAGAGAGAGACTGAGTGAGTAAGTGTGTGAGTGAGAGAGAGAGAGAGAGAGAGAGAGGGGAAATGGCGGCCATTCGCCAACATATTTGACCTACTTTTCGCGGAGAGGGAGGGAGAGCACAGCGCCGCTACTGTCCGCATCAACAGCACCAACTCATTCACAGCTAAACCACAGACTCTCGGATAAGGTAAGCCGTGCTGTTATTACTATTTTAACCTACCTTGGTATTTATTCTTTTTTCTCTTCTCTCTGAACTGTATTGCACGGAATAATAGTGATTTTTTAACGCTCATTGCTCAGCTGTGTCAGTCGGTAAATAAACCGTTTTAACATCAACACAGTTCCTACCAGAACAAGTGAAGTGAATGATTCCGGTTCTGGTGATGTGGCGTGTTTCATCCCAGCTGAACGCTGGATTTGAGTGTTTTTACTGTAGCCGGAGGCAGCAGCGCCTTCACTGCGCGCTCAGACCCAAACAAACAAGCTCCACATGGGCTGCAGCTCCGCTCACTGACAGCTCCAGCCTGCTGCTCAGGCACTGCTGCACTGCGCTGTCTGCTTTTCTCAGAAAACAGCTTATTATTCCTCAGTTATTCTGCATCTGCTCTGTGGAGTTTTTTCCAAACTGCATGTTTGGTTTTGGAGTCTGCAAAGCAGCAGTTTGAGTATCTGAAAAACAGATGCACTAACCTTACTGAATTCAGACATGTGCATCACTTCCACATGAATGAAGTGTGCTAATTACACCAACACAGCTTTGTCTCAGAGTTTATGTAATACATTTTATTGGCTGATTAATATTTTTATTGATTGATTTTATTAATTATTTGAATCAAGTAAATTAAATGCATTTTTGTGCAAGTTAAGTTTTTTGAGTGTACTTAAAATGTTAAAAATAGGGATGGGCAATATGGCAAAATGTGTCATGATATTCATTTTTCAGACATTTGATAAGTTAGAACAGGCAATGTAGTGGCACATTTTAAAATATTACCAAAACTATGAAAAAATTATTATTGAATTCATTATTTCTCCCACTGTGCTGGACTGAATCCAATTAAACAGGACTTATAATGCTCTCTTCTTAATCAAACATGCAGTTGGGAAGTGCTTTTAAGTACTGACCGTATCCACAACATACCCAGAAAAGCATATTGTATTGATGTAATTTATCACAAAAACAATAAATACTGTTATGTTGCCCAACTCTACATTGAATTAATACCTGTCATCTAAGCCCATTTCAGCTTAAGAGCAAACTCTTGGAGTTGCATTAAATATTGCAAAATGGTGGTCTTATGAGTAATAGCAGTGGCGGTGTTTACATGTGCATCAGATGGACAGTGTGCAGGTCCCTCTTCTTCAGAGCCCTCACTGTTGGAGCATTTCTTCTGTCCTAATTGGAAAGTACAGTGCATGCTGTCCTCTGAGGCCCAGACTCTTTTATTTTAGGTTTGGACAGAATGTTCTGTCAGGTTGAGAGTGTCCCCCCAGTACGTGAGAGGGGGTGTGGACTGTAGCTACGCTATGCTGTGTGGGAATGTGATTGGCATGCAGGCCACGCCCACTGCTTCACGCAAACAACTCGCACTGGAGCTCTTTTGTCTTTGCTTCCAAAACAGCTTGCAGATGTGTGCAGGCTAAAAAAGTGACCCACAGACCTACTTTCCCTCAGACTGCCATGTAGGGTATTCAGTAAGATTTGAGCCCAGAAAAGCTGTTTAACTGAAAGGATATCTTTCTCTCCTCATTATGAAAGGCTGAATACTTCTGCTGTGCATTGAAGTTACAGTATGTTGTGTGCAGTTTATATGCTGGGCACGTATGTGGATTGACGTGGGAGTGATATAGGTTTAGAAAAAGTGTGTTACAGTTGGAATGTAATCAGATATGATCTGGTATTATTGTAAAAACATATAATTAATAAACATATTTCTGTTGTAAATCTGCAGACATGCTGGAAACAATCTCTCATTGTGAGCTAACCAAAATGCTATCTGGTTAGAACCAAATGTACTTGTACTGGATAATACTACATTTAATTGTAGTGCATGGTATTTTCTCTTATTCATATCTGTTGTAATATCAGAGGAGTCTCTTCATAATCCGGTGACAAAATTTAAGTTTTGCTTGTTGTGAACTGGAGAGAGGTGTAGAGAAAGGTTTCATGCACTGAAAAAAGTGATGCATTGAATTTGCTTGATTTTAATGTATACATCATATATGGTGATATACTAATGTATACATAAGATATATTATAAACACAGTTTACTTGCATTTGGCTATTAACTTATTTTGTCAGTGTTGTTAATGTGACATATAAAGGTGTATAAAAAAGGTGTATGAAATAGCTTTGGGAAATCGGTATTGTCTTGTGTCGAGGCCACTTCATGAGCTAATGAGCTAACTAAGAGCTAACGTTAACGGTTACAGACCTGAATGCTGAAGGAGTCTCGTCATCTTCTACACAAGGCATTTTTGTCCTCAGTGGATGATGTGCCAACATGTTAGTTTGTCAGAAAATATATTTTCAGAAATAATACAGTTTCTGGGCCTAGCTAACATTAGCTAGAGTAGTTAGCACAGTTAGTGATAAAGGTGCTCTGTCTCTGCCTTTTTGTCTTGCAAATAAGTCCCCTCATATTACAGTCCTGTTAAAACCTAAAATCATCATTTCCTTGAATTGTTGACTAGTATATATCCTCCATCTTCCTGTGATTAAACATAACGCTAACGAATAATGATTTCAGTATTCGAGTACTGGAACCTTGAACGGTTAATCGAGTACTCGAGTATCTGCGCATCCATGAATGTATTTATATGGAAATGAAGTACGCAAGTTGTTGCAGTGCTGAAGGCTTTAATAGTGCGTACAAAAATGGCCTGATTCCAGTGAACAGTCGCTTTTGGCTGCACTCTGTATCTAGCTGTGTGTTCTGCTTAACACTGCTGTAATGACGCCACGCTCCAGGCAACAGCTTCATACACTCCCTGTCAGCGTTTATGGAGTGGTTTCTTACCAAATCCCAACTGATAAACGTTTAACAGTTGGACTGGCGGGCGAAAATGCACTGCAAGGAGGCAAATCAGGGTCAATCTAGAGGATTCTCTCCAAGATAAGAAGCCTATAAAAATAGAAGGCTCTTACATGCAGTGAATGGGCTGAAGAGCGAAGACAGAAGTCAGGACGAGGTCATTGGAATTGGAGTTTAATTGGATTTTCAGGTATTTTTTGCAGGTGATTTTAGAACTGGGTTGGCAGGAGACTTTTTTTCTAGGTTAGTTGTGTCTTGTAGACTACATTGATAAAATAAATGTATACATGTATAGAGTATAATATAAAATAGTCACACCATGCGACCAATGTTTGCTGTTTATATGTGGAACTAGTAATTAACCTAAATGGGCTGTAGCATAAACGTCTATCAGAGATTGTTGGTTAAGGGGGGAAAAGTTACTGAAATGTTGACCCAAGTTTATAACATTTGCCCCATTCTGGAATAACATAAAAAAGAAACATTATGGCACATTATTTAGTGATTCTCCCACTTAAAAACATGCTAAGTCTTGCTTTTAAATTCTTTTCAGTTCATTTTGTGGCTCTGAAACGTGAAGTGCAGGTGAGACATTTCTCACACTCGTGCATCTCCTGGTTTTCATTATGCCCTCAGTGGACAGACACACGTTGGTTGAAATGCACTGGCATTTACGGGCTTGTTTGAGATTTATTACGTGTTCTGATTTTTAGCAGGTGTAACAGAGCCTGGTGTATTCGCATTGGTGACTGTGTGGTTTGGCACATGTGTGTTTGATCATATAAAAACATGTTCATAACAAGAACAGTCAGCAGACTCTGTGGGCTTGTGACCTCAGACCTCTGTGCTGTGATTAAGCCACATACATTAATTGCAGTAGTTGCTGCTTTGATTCACTAAGCACAGGGCAGAGATCAGGGGGAAATGGACAGTGTTTCTAAAGTTTGGAATCGCTGTTTTTAAAAAGGTAAAAACATCGTTTTTGGTTATACATGTTAGTACTCCATAACTTACTAGATTTCAAATAATAAGTGGGAAGATGTAAAATACAATGATGAACAGAGCTGCAGATGGTTCCAAAATAACTGAGAAGGCTGTAAAAGTTGAGAATTAAGTTAGAATAAGAATCCAGAATGCTTTGTATTTGAAAAGTGGTGATCAAATCTGCAGGCCGATAGCATAATAAGACATGGCTAGAAAAGGATCCTTTTTCTGTTTTATTTATCATTTATGTAACTTCTTCTTGTTCCCTTCTTGAAATACCTTTGGGTATCTAGTTTGTAATAGTACTTATAAAATATATAGTACTAAGTTTTAGGCACCTGAGAAAATGATATTTAAAAGCTAGTGCAGCAAATGTAGTTACTGAATACGGTAACAATGTGTGTACATAACAAGTAACACAAATGGTTGCCAAGTTACGAACAGTAGTGTACACCCTGACATTCATGAGCCATGAGCAAATCCATTAGTGACCTCCACACTTGATCTCTGTCTCTCCTCAGAATAATGGCTATGACTTCGTCTCAGTTGGATCACTGTGAGCTGGAAGGTGGGGAGGAGGATATGAAGCCGCGGGCGGCGGCCGTCCGGCGGAACCTCTTTGGCCCGGTTGATCACCAGCAGCTCCACCAGGACTTCCAGAGGCTGCTGTGCATGAGCATGGAGGTGGCCAAACAGCGCTGGAATTTCGACTTCCAGAGCGAGCGTCCGGCAGCCGGAGCGGTGGAGTGGGAGGAGCTGCGCTGGCAGGATGTCCCGGCGTTTTACCGCAGCTGCGTGGTGCGTGCAGGAACGACCAGGCGCAGACTGGAGGCTCCAGTGAACACCAGTGGATCTCTGGGCTGCTCTTCAGTGGCTGTGAGCGGAGAGGAGTACCTGGAGCTGAGGGCCAGAGCAGCGTTCAGAGGAGCCAAGCTGGAGAAGAGAATGTCAGCACCTCTGGGGGTCAAACACAGACAGGCCACCATCACAGGTGAGAGAGAAAGCAGAACAGGTTAATATTGATGTCTAAGAGAGAAACAGGAGTGAAAGTCTTTGACCTCACACTGATCAGAATTAATTACAGTTCTTTAGGAAATGTGCATCATCAAATCTCAGATTTTGTGATTATGATTCTTTAGGAAATGAATCAGTGCAGCATGATGTCTCATATTTCATCACAGTTTGATTAAATTGTTTTTAGGAAACCATTTAACACATAATGACATCTCAGATTTCACCATGATTCAATCAATAATGATTCTTTTGGGAAAAAAAATCAGTGCATCATGAAATCTGAAATTTTTACCATAGTTTGATTGAATTATGATTCTTTAGGAAACGATTCAGTGCAACATGCAATCTGAAATTTTGTCATGATTTGATTAAATTTGGACTCTTTAGGAAACTATTTAATGTGTTGTAAAGTCTCAGTTTTCACCACGATTCACCTAAAGTATGATTCTTTTGGAATCTTTTGGAAATAGTTCAGTGCATCATGAGATTTCACCACAATTTGATAAAATTATGATTCTTTAAGAAATGATTCAGTGCATCATGAAATATGAAATTTCACCACAACTCGATTAAATTATGATTAGTTAGGAAATGATTTAATGCAACCTGAAATCTCATAATAACTTGAATCAGTGTGATTATTTTTGCTACTATTTGGATTTATTTTTTAAAATACACTGAATACACAAAGATAAACATTTATACACAATAAAAACAATACATCAAGGTTTACATTCTCAACATATTCATTTTCAAGAAGTGCCAAACCAAGCAATACTTAAATTTCAACAAATAGCCATCTGCTGTACTGAATATAATTATAATAGATGCAAACTTTCCAGAATCAGTGCTGCTGAATCAGCATCTTCAGACTAATGCATCAAGATGCACTGACACATTTATGCACTTTTATTGTTAAGCTGTTTCACCAGGCGACTCTAACACTGTCATTTCATATCTTCTTGCTTTGTCAGAGAGGTTCTCATTCTAGCCCTGAGGGTCTCACACCTTTTTCTTTTACCTCTTCCATTTCCAAACACACCTGAGCCAGGCAATCAGAAATCAGAATGCTGCATGCCTGGTTCAGATGTGGCAGGAACTGGAACAGAAGAAAAATGTGGACTGGTTTGGGGGCCTACAGGGACTGGATAGATAACCTCTGCTCAAACACACCTATTTTCTCTCTTTTAGACTTCTTCACTGTGAAGAAGAGGAGGTTTCTTCATCATAAAGGAGCTTCGAGGCAGTAAGCAGAAAGTCTGAGACTGACTGCAGAAAAAGCTCAAATCATCACTGTGTACATAAATGTATATACAATGTCTGCGATTGTAGCTTTTCAGATATTCAGACAGATTATCAGAAGCTCTGAACGAGCTTTAAAACATTAAAGTTTTCAATGAAACAAATCAGTTCAAGTAAGCTTAAAAATCCACTAACTATATTCAGAAAGAAACATATCTAAAGTATACTGTGAAGGTACAAAATGCACTCCAAAAAACGACACTTTTTTTTCCTTTTTTTTTTGCTTCAGGTCGTGTTACAAAAATTGTTTTTCTCACCTTTGGTCCAAATGTCATGACCTCTTGACCTGATAATTAGTAGGCTGAGTTTAGTCTGGGCTTGCACACAAAGCCTAATGTCTCAGCTGGTTTTAGAATCTCTCTCCTGCTTATGAGAAAACAACAGGGGTCAAACTTTGAACCCAGTTGTATCTCAGACTTATTGACCCCCCATTACCCGGGATATTAAAGGTTAGGCTTATTGTTTTAATAAATTTGCCGACCGACCTATACGTCCCACAGAGGTTGAAATATGTCAAGCCTTACCATATATACAGTCATTTGCAAAAGTTTGTGCACTCCATTTTCTATGCAGAAATAAGTTAACGCAGTTCTGCTTATTTTGCTGAATTCGGAAAGAAAATAAACATAAAATGTGCTTTTTGCAAAAGCTATGGTGCATTTTATATTTTGTTTTATTTTTTCCAGTATAATAAACTGAACTAAAAGTTTGTTCCCTGTAGATGACGTGTTAACTTATTTCCACTTAGAAGTCTACAAAACATGTAATTACACAAATTACAGAAGTGTTCAGATTTTTGCAAATGCCTGTATTCTACATAAAAATATTATCTCTGCCTATTTTCTGTTTTCTACTGATTTTTCAACTTTTTTATTCTTTTCCATGTTAGAGAACATATCACTTATAGAACATTAAAGAAATTTGCTGAACATGAGGTTCTCCAGTAAACCCAAGCCATGGCCTTATTGTGTTCCCTTAACACAAAAACTGTTCACAAATTATTTATTCCTCAATTTGTCATTCTCTTCCTGTCTCCTACTGATGGATGTTCTTCTAACAGAAAGCCTGAGCTCTATGCCTCTAAATCTTCCATGAAATCCAGGTTATACACATTCCATTCAGTGTGAAATACAAACAGACAAAACAGCCAGACTATGCATAACCGCCCCAAGTTATCCTGCTGGTTAGCTCGTCCATTTGCCTCAATTAAAAAAGTAACATAGAGAATTCATGGAAGGATTCATTAAAGGAATGTTGAAGGATTTTTGTACTTAATCTCTGTCTGCTGCATCTGTAGCCTGTTGCTGTTGAAACAAAACCTTGTATCTCCAAAATGATAACTTTGCAGGAGACAGAAAGAACTTTGAATTGGAGGTTATGTAAATGGGTATTTGTAGAGGTTTCTCTTTTCCAATCATGAAGTTTTCACTTTTTTCCTGTACTTAGTAAAGCCCACTACCTTAAACATGGTTATAATAGAAGTCAGTAGGCAAGCGCTGAAGCCATATATGGTCCATACATGGAAATTAAGCTGATAAAGCAGCCTTGAAACAGTTAGCTAACAGACTGTTAGCTGTTTTTGTGACGCCACACATTTACTTTTATCCACCTCTTCAGCCTTTAGTAATCTTGCCCCGCCCATTCATGATGAAGTTATAAAGAGTGTTACAACCTGGCCTGCTTTCAGAATGTCTGAAATACCTGACAGCTAATCAGAACAGAACTCATTTACATACAAATGTCTTAAAGGCACAATAACAAAAAACCAAATATAATATGTTGGTACATTACTTCATAAACATTATAAATAGACCTCAGGAGAAAAAAAATAGAAGAGTAATGTAGGATGTGGATGCTGACAATTTTTTCTGTCTTCAGAATCACACCGAGGTGGCAAGAGAATGACAAATTGAATAAGAAAAGTCCTCCCTTACTGACATTTTATTAATCTGACCATCAATATGGCCGCCTTTTTCACAGTTTATTCAAACTTAAAGTTTTTTCGGCCAGATTTTTTTTCCCGTCCATCTCTCTTAGTCACTCCAACAGATCAAAGATGTTGTAAAGAAAAAAAGAAGTGTATCTGTTCTCTGTGTTATTAACAGCTATATTACTTTTAAAAAAGTGCTATCTTCAGTTATACTGTATAAGATAATTGTATTTGTTCACATCTTAATTATGTAGCATTTTTTTAATCTCATCTATTATAGTAGCTTTTCTTTTCGGTTTTGAACACAACACTTTTCCACATGAAGGGAATGTAGCATTTTAAAACAAAGTGGATGTAAATGTGCCAAGTTAAAGAATTGTTTATAAGAGACCTATAAAGTCATGCTCAGCATGTAGATAGCAGGGACGTATTTTCTGCAATACTTTTTTTTCCATTGCTGTACTGTTTGTTTGCGGTGTGTCTGTGTGTAATGTGAGATGGTATGTGTAATTTTGTTTTGTTTTGTACAAATTGTTCTTTGTTTTTTTGAAAAGGCAGCTGAATCAATTGACCAAAGAATTGCTCCACACATTGTCAAAAATAAGGAAAAACTGAGAGAGCCGTCTGGACTGCATGACAAGAAGAAGGGACGAAGCCACTAGTTAACCATCTTTTAAACTCACACTACTCACTTTAGGCAGTGCTCACTTCCTCCCATTGTATATTAAAACACACTCGTCTGTTAGTGGCATATATGGTGACAATTAGTGCGTCCTACAGCAGTTCAGATGTTTTTATCATTGGAATTTTCAATGAATAGCCATCCGGTTCATCTACCTCACAGAAACAATGCCAGAATTGATGCGGTCAGCTTTTGGATATTAGAAAAAAGGCCAATCACTCATGGATGTGGAGTTGAGCCAACCCATACACCTCTGAAGGGGCTTTTTAAAGGAATGGTTCACTGAAAAATCAAATTTTTACAGTTTCCCCTTACCACAAAGGTAGTCAATGAGCCGAAACATGTTTGGTGTCTCAAGTTTGCTTTCTTGGTTCTGCACTGGAGCTACAAAGCTAATGAGATAGAAAACTGAACCTATAATCTAAAATGATTTTCTTCCATTGTTAGCTACATTAGCTTTGTAGCTCTAGTGCAAAACTATACAGGTCTTGGCTGACTGGCTAATTTTGCAGTAAGCTGAAAACTGCACAAGTTTGATTCTTTGGTCAACCATTTCTTAAAGCTTTTTCTAGGGCCTACTCATGCTCCGCCTCAATGTGTTCTTTCATAGCAACTGTTGTCAGGTTGGACTAGATATACAGAACGCTGACACTCTGACTTTTTGTAAAAAATATACCTAAATTGAGAGTGCGTTATCAATTTAAATTAATATTGATTTTGTTTCTGTCACATTGTTATTTTTGTATTGCATATAAAGTAACGTTAGCATGGGAACAACAACAAGTTCACCGCTACCTACCTGCCAAGTTTCATTTAGCTGAAATAGCATAGTGCTGGTTTGTAAACTGGAAACTCAAAAGAAATATTAATAAATGTGCACTACAGTTTGTGATTCGGTTGAATGAGATTTTTGCTAATGTTCTGTAAAGCTTGTCCAACAGTTGTGCTTTTGTGGGAGGAGTATGGATAGGTCAGTTTGGGTCTTTCTTGTCTGGCTCACCCCACTTTTTCCAGAAATAAGCAGAGTAGTCAGAGATGGGTCTGTATTAACCCATTAATGTCTAGATTTGAAATTTGGTCCATATGTTACATATTTATAATTTTTTTAGCCATGTGGTTTGATTGATTTGAAATGATGATCGTCTAACATTTTGCTCACATTGGATGACTGATTTGTAACAAAACAACAGAAAATCCAAATATATAATATATAATTTTTTTGTTCATCCAGTGAATAATTACATACAATTTTATCACCTTAGACCAGTCAGAACATGATCTGTAGCTTTTCCTTATTGTACTAAATGTAGCTGTTGGACATGAATGGGTTAATGGAATGAGCAAAGAGTCAAAGCCTCACAGACTGAATCTAACAGGTTTTGGCCAGATAAATGGCCTGTGATCAGGTGGTCTAAGGCTGCATGGCTCTGAAACTCTTATCCCGTCTCTGCCTGAGCTGTCACTGTCTCTGAGATTCTGAAAGGAGTAAATGACTAGTAATACACTGCAGGTTTACACAAATCACCTCACTTCTAAGAAATAGTTTGCTATTAGATTCTTTTTGTTTTTTTTGCCTGTGTGTATGTGTGTGCCTTTGTGTGTTTGCATTTTTGATTGCACCTGTCTGTCATTGTGTTCAAAACAACCTTTAAAAAAATGACATTTTTTAACTTATTGTATCATTTTGTTGTTCTGTTTTTTCAGGGCTCCTGAATGTAATTGGTCCCTGACATGACTAACTGATTTTGTACTAGCTTTGCACTATTGTAAATGTCATTGTTGCGATTATAACTTTGAATGGTTCTGGAAAGCTGCGTTAAAAGAGAATTCCACCAATTTTTCTGAAATGACTGTGAAATTCAGTGGTTGAGATGTAAACAAAGTCATTCAGAGTGGTTTGATGTGGAATGATTGTAGGTTGATTGTAGAGAAACTCTTTCTACGGAGCCCATTTGGTTACATCCAGTATAAATAAAAATAATGTGTGGCTACAACTTATTAAGGCATGGGAACGAGATAATTAAGTCGTGGCCACGACTTAGTAAGGCGTGGGAACGAGATCATGCCTTGTTAAGCTGTGGTCAGGGCTTAATTATGCCTTATAATTATATATAATTATGCCTTACTAAGTCGCGCATTAGGATCTCGTTCCTACGCCTTACTAAGTTGTGTTTAACTTATTTATCTCATTTACACACCTTACTAAGTCGTGGCCACACATTATTTTTATTTATATGGGATATCATCAGCAGGGCTCCTTAGATTTCTTTACAGTGGTGGTGGTATATTGGAGTTTACAACTCCAGTATAGCCATTTATTTATTATCTAAAATGATCAATAAACTAAAACGTGTCTTCTAAGTTTCTGTATGTGATGTTGATGAAGGTACAAAAGTGGTAAATCTGAAAAATAATGGATGAATAAATCCATAAATGGATTTTAAAAATATCTCAAAACTATCAGGCAGTGTATTTATAACCATTTCATGTAATCAGACCACTCTGAATGTCTTTATTTGCATCTTAACCTTTTAATTATGCAGAATGAAAGAAAATGTGTGGAATCCTTTAAAAGGTCAGTGTCATGCAGTGACAGTGTTCACTCTCTGGACATTTATGTTGGATTTCAAATCAGCATAACAAACAGCCTGCATTCGGCCTGCCAGGAGAAAAAGAAAATAATTGGCTCACAAAATTCTAAACAGTTTACTTAAGAGAAAATAAAGCAGGTCTCAAAGCAGCACAGTAACTTTTAACCAGCCTGAGCCCGTCAGTCCAACACCTTGCTTCTAAGCCTTAATTGTCCGAGGTATAATCACCATAGTATTGTAATGCCTTATATGCATGAGTGAAAGGTAGCCATCTATATTTTTCTGTAACAATACAGTGTAATTTAATTCTGCTTTGTCTAATGTATGGAAACAGACAGATTGTGTTTGGCGTTGAAAACAAAATGGTGTTTTTTCTTTAAACAGAAATAATAAAAAAAAACAATTACTGTCAGTTTTACTAAGTGTTTCTAGCAGTTCTCCTTTGGCGCACTGTTTATGTTTGTAACATTGTGAATAATGTCATAAATTAGAATAAAATTATAATAAAAGATACTGTATGAAAATGCCTTTTGGAGAGTTGGTGGAGTTTATTTTCAGCAACAGGTTAAAGTCTCAGCTGACCTACATACAGAAGACAAATAAACAAGCACCAGTCACAGCAGTTGAGGTCAAAGATTAGCAGAATGGCTCCCTCTGCTGGTCAGAAAATCTTCTCAGTTAATAAGGATGTTACACTTTCAAAAACAATTTTTTAGAAAGATTATTAAAACATTTACTTAATTTTCCATCTTTTACGGAAAGCATGAAACGTGAAAAAACTATAGTTAATGTTTTGTGTGAGACTAATGGAGACTTGCTGTATGAAGTGTATGTGGTAGATCAGGTTTCTGTATTCTTTAAAGCTCAGTGACAAGGTCAATTGCAGCAGTGTAGAACCAAGACATTTTATAGGGCCCATATCATGGAAAACTCATGTTTTCTCACTTTTTTTTAAATGTTTTTGATGTAGTATGTAGTTTCAAAATGTAGCGTTCACTTCCCAGTCCAACTTCCTAAACGACTATGTTCTTAATAACACCCCCTTTGGCTGATATAACAGCTTGCAAACACTTTCTGTAAACAGCTAAGAGTATTTCTTAAGCATTTACACCCACTCTAACTTGCAGACACTTCAAGTTCTGCTATATTCTTGGGCTGGATTACATGCGCAGCATGTTTGAGTTCTACCCAAAAGTTTTCAACACATCAAAAGCTTCAGCTACTTTTTGAGGTATAATTTGGATCACTGGGTTGAAGAAGGCACCCTCTTTTCCAGACTGGCTGTGTCAGATTTGCTTCCAGAATTTGCTGCTATTTAGTGGAATCCATTCATTCATCTATCCATGCAATGTTTTCTGTGCCACTGGCTGCCTCACAACCACAAAGCATAATCCACCACCATGCTTAACAGTTCTTTTGTTTCATCAAACGCTTAGAAACATATGTTTAGAATGTGGCCACTGAGTTCCCATTTTTACTTCATCCACTGCACCAAGCACTAAGCCTCTGGCTTATCTAGATATTGTACTACATACTTCAGATGTTCACTTTTGTGCTGAGATCACAGGTAAGGTTTCCTTCTGATGACTCTTTCATGCCGATCCATGTTTGTGCAACACTGCACTAGTAGAAGAGTGCACCACCACTCCTGTGTCAACTAAACCTTCCTGCAGGTCCTTTGTTGTCATATGGGGGTTTTACTTTGCCTTTCTGGTCAGCATACAGCAGTTATATCTGAGAGTTTTCTTGGTCTTCAAGATCTTGCCTTGACTTTCACAGTTCCCCTTAACTGCCATTTATTAATAAAACTTCAGACAGTGGTAATCGCAAGCTAGAAACGCTTTGATACCTTTTTATTGCTTCCCCTGCTTTGTTTGTTCAGATCCTCTACAACCAACTTGGAGAAGGCCATGGTTGTTTTTACTATTTGTTTTACTTCAAAAATCAACAAAATATGTAATTTTGTAGAGGCTATGGATGTCCAAACGTCTGCAAACAACTGTATAAAAACAAAACTATAATAACAAACCACATTAAAATTGTTTTTGCAAACTCATGAAATCCAAAATCCTTGCATCTAGTAACCCTTTACAGCAGTTTAGCCCTACCCCTTCATGCCAAAACTATAAGGGGTTTTTCAGCCTGGGCTGCTTTTTAAATGATGTACATAATAGCCACGATAACCAACACCATATATATATATATATGTGTGTATTTCTAAAGGAGAGGACACATTAAATGGCCTTTGTGAGTTACAGATAAATCTATTTTAATAAGTAAAAAAACACTTTAAAATCACGCCTTAGCAAATTATACATTGAAAATTTAAGCCATTTTTTCTAAAGTGCATGTGTGAAACATTCACATAAAACAAGAACTTTCACATTAAAAAAGAAAAACACAAAAACACCACCACAGAGAATAAGAGAGCACATTCCTTTAAAATCAAGTACATTAAAAATGTGGCTTGGCAGCAACTTTGCTGCCTGATCAAAGCATTTCACCAAGGAAGGACCTGAGCTTGATTTCAACATTATGTGAATGTGATCAAGTTCATTCTCCATTAGAGCTATGTCACCACATCAGTATAAAGCATCAATCTCGTTCCCATTATAATACTATATTTTTACAAATATCAATATTAGTGTTTTCCTTTAGCTTTAATTAAACAGTACAAATGATTTTAAAGGCATGCGTTACAAGAAAGGCTGTGTGCAGTACAGTCTGTACCACTTTCTGAAGAGTCTGTTGATGGTAATTTTCTTTTTCCAACATCATCTGACTTTAAGAACTTAAGATGTTCTGATGATGAAGATGATGATGTAAACAAGCAAGCTAATTTAAAAGCACGAGTGTCCATCTAGATGTGGTTCAGCAGAACATTTTATCACGAGAAGTGTTTGACAAAGTGCACACGTTAGAGTTTAGTGTCGGAATTTTAAAAACGCTCTCTGTCTCTCTCTGTCTCTCTCTCTCTCTCTCTCTCTCTCTCTCTCTCTCTCTCTGTCTCTCTCTCTCTCTCTCTCTCTCTCTATATATATATATATATATATATATATATATATATAGCTGTATGCTGCACTTCAAACACTAAAAAAAATGTGTTCTTCTGCTCTTTTTGAAATATAATTAATATAGTCAATTCCAGGGTCATTGGCACCCTTCATGGAAATGTTCTAAAATCAATAAATAAAATAAAAACTCATGCAGAGAGTGATATTCAGAATCTAACAAATGGGTAAGTTGCATATTTTTATTTTTACAAAAAAGTTTTTTGGTAACTTTCTTTTTTTTTCCAAAAATATTGAGAATAATAGTACTGAGCCACTTTCTGTAATGCTTAACAAAGTTGGAGAACACATGAGTGGGATCTTGGCCCACTCCTCCATGCAGTTTCCAGTTCCTTGATTTTTGGACCTTTGCTTGTGGACCGGCCTCCTTAACACACATCAATTGGTTCCATTTCAATTGGGTTCAATGTGAATACTATGAGAAACATTGCAAAACTTTAATTTTCCAACCATTTCTGTGGGGATTTTGATGTGTGTTTGGGGTCATTATCTTGCTGAAAAGTTCAACCTTGGCCAAGTTTCAGCCTTATATTTATACCCCAGAGTAACAGGAATTCGCCATAGCCAACAGTGCAGCTCCCAACGAAAAGCAAGATTTTTTTTCCCAAAACACGCAAATTTCCTTGGTTTTACTTAAAACATTTTGTAGGAGTGCTAGTAACTTTGCCCCATATGTTTTTGAAAGAATACACTATTATTAAAATAAAACACCACTACCGTAGAAATGATTTCTATTAGATAACTGTTCCTCCAAACATTTTTGAGGAACATTTGAATCATTATATGTATTGTATATTTTATATAATCGTTTTTGCCCTGTTTATTGTGGGCTGCCAGTACTTCTGGAGTTGACCGTACCTAATTAATTAATAATAAGGCAAATATCAGAAAGTTACCATATACTTTTTCTAAAAAAACAATATTAATTACATTTAATTACATAATCAGGGACCACTGGTGGCTTGAGGGCCATAAGCAACCGCTTATACCACTTGTAGCTAGAAATGGTCCGGACTGTTTAGTGTAACACCTAGTTAACATTAGTACACACAGAAAGTTACTTCCTTTCAACAAACACTCTCAATTTACCAAGGCATTAGAAACTAGTTCAAATCCTTAACGTGTTTTTTGCTTTAATCCTCCTGTTATCCTTAAATTTACTAACATCTTTTGTCCTTGGGGTCAGTTTGATCCCAGCAATTTAAACTTTTGGGAAATACCAAAGTTCTTGTGGTAATTATGTTTTTCCCTCCACCGTGTTGTGTGAATTATCAGTGGTTCTTACACTACTAGAGGTATGGATATATTGGGTTAGGGCCCTAAAGCAGGTTTTAAACAGCTTAAGGTCAAACTGACCCCATAGGACACTGACAAAATGTGTACAGGACACAGAAAACATATCATCATGTTAACTTTATGTTTACCAAGTTGTCCCCCCTGAAATGGGAAAAGTCATTAAATATGAAGCAAAAAATGAAGTCAGTCGCTTTAATTAGAGATGTTAAGCATTGAATGGAGTCAAATTTACCCCCAAAGATAACAGGAGGGTTAAAGAAAAAAACACAATATAAAAACATTAAATCCATTTTCGTACAGTCCCCAAAAGCACCACTAAAAATTCCAGTTCTTAGTTCCTATTCATCAAAAGACCCAAAAGACTACAGGCACGGAATGATCGAGTGATTTGGTTCCTCTCCATCTATACATATAGACCGCAACTATGAGGGTCCTGCCCCTTCATAGCAACCAGTAAAATCAAAATATCAATAAAAAAGATTCATAAATATCAAAATTTAAAAGCATAGTTCAACATTAACAAGTAACCCATTTTCTATTATTTTTTAGTTCTTTATGCAGCTTGAAAAAGACAACAGAGCTGCTTAGATTGGCTGATTAAAATTCATAAGGAACTGCTGCGTCACTCCTTTTTTTGGAGAACTAAGACCATCTGAATTAAAATGTGGGCTGAAAATAAAGGCACTGAAAGATTCATATTTTCTAAAGGCTTTCAATTTGTGAGATTGTGCCTTGTTCTAAAAGAGTGTCTCAAGATGAGAGATTTCACAGCCAAATCAATGTATCCCCCTTCTGCACGTCAGCCATGTTTACATCATCTCTGGCTGTGGGGACTGCAAACCTGCCATAATGCTTAAGTTTAGTGCTAGAACCCATTTAATGAAAGAACAGAAACCTTCCATTTGATGGCATAATAAGTAGGATTCATACAGTCCAAATCATGTAGCCAAATGGCTGAAGGACAAAAAAGATGTGTTACACAGGTAATCAGACCGAAGTGCTGTTAACTGTGCCAATAAACTTTGCCAATATAGTGAATAAAGAGGGCACCAGTTCCATGGCTATCATCCAAAATGTGTTCATTAACTCTCACTTAAACTGTCTCACTATCCTTTCTCTATCTAGTTATACAGCCAGCAATACCTGTGTTGCTTCACCAAATCACGCATGCTTCAGTCTAAACTATATTAAGCTTGTTTTCATTTTACACATGTGAAAATAAATGCTCAGCTCTATTGCCAACAGACTGGTTGAGCTGATTGTCAATGATGATGACTACTATGATTACCTTTACAAATGACCAATTTATCAATGACCAATCAGTGTCATTGGCATAACATATGAATCCCTGGGATCATGCACTAACCATTTAAATCAATCCCATTACTGAAAATTTTAAAAAAGCAGCCAGGGAACTGGCTACAAACTGAGTGTCTGGACAGAGACCCTGTCCACATTCTCCATACTAACCCCAATATAATAAGAGTCCAAAAAATAAGGAAGGTCTCAAAGCTGGTGCGTCCTTGCTTGTCTGTCTCTGCACATGGAGCGTACTTCACTAATAATAAGAGGAATGATGAATACAATGCTGAACCCTGTCTGTAAAGAAAAAACAAAAACAAGTCATTAATAACTCCCAAGCAGGAACTGACACTACATTCTCTGTCAAGTGAAGGAAAAACTCCTCAGAACAAAAGTGCTGTGAGAAGACGGTGGTAGTAAATTAGTCTGAATTATTAAACTAAAAGACAGCACACATGCTACTCTAATCATCTGGAGGATGGTGCTGCTTTTATTTAATTCCTGAAGCGGAAAAAGTTTTTACATTAAACTCCGTGAAAGATCAAACTCACAGCTCAAGGTCAAAACTATTAGTAGGCTCTAAGGTAAACTGAACTTTGTCTGGATTCCTGTGTTTACCAACACTCGTTTTAAAATGACATCTCACAGTAAATTACATTATAAAGCAATGTTAAGAGCAGTCAGTTAACTAGCTTCGCTGGTGACAGCTTGATAAATTCATCAGTATGAACAGGACTGAAAAGTGTACCATCACTGCAATTATTTCATTAAAGTTTGCTAAAAGACCTTGTGAAAAAGATGATGAGCCCTCCTCAGCATTTAATACTAGCTCCAGTGCTACCTTTAATATTAACATTGGTTTATCTGAAGGGGCAGCTTTCTTAGCTCAAATCTCCTCCTTATTAGACATGGCCACTTTAAAGCCCAGTCGCTAAAAGATTCCCTTTTTCAATTTATGTAAACATGGTTTCCAGAATCCATTTTTAATTTAAATTGACTCCAGTGAACATCTTGTAAAGCCAGTTTATTTTTAAATAATAAAACATCTTTACTCCTCAGTTGCTTCTAAATTTTCTTTTGTGCTACTGAGCTTTTATGTCTGTTGGCAGACGTGTTACAGATGTTATTATATAGCATGAAAAGAAAGCTTTATGGACATAACTAAAGGACACGGACTTGACAGTATTTTGTAAATGTGCAATTGCGATATGCCTTATATTGCATTACATCACAATATATATGATATATTACAATTTTAGCTATGTTTTAGCTATTTAACAAGTACAGCAGAGTTAATAAACCTGGGAGAAACCTTACCATGAGTATGAAGAAGTAGAAGACCCACATCCATCCTAGTTTGCTCTCAATGAGTGACACCAAGTACTACAAAGGAAAAAGAATATTTTCCAGTAAGTGTTGCTTCTAGCCATAAAAACTGAACCTTGCCTCCATTTATGACCCCACAGATGAGGATAGCCTCATCAATGTGCATCACTACAGGTGCATAAGACAGTTTTGGTTGCATCAGTGGGCGTCCTGTCACAAGAGTTGCACTGTTGCCCTTGTAATGCGTAAATGTGTTTAAGCCTATGGCTTTTCAAGTTTACTAAAAAGACACAGAGCTGCATTAGGAAAATAACTATCAACTTGTACTATAGTCTTCACACCCATTCCTACCTGATACACTAAAGTGGTCTAGGTTTAGTTATAAGGTAGATTTCTAAGTACAGTTTTAGAAGTAGTGTTTTTTTTTGCTTTCAAGTAATACCTGTCCCCCAGCAGCCCCAATGCTGCCAGTTCCATCCACTATGCCTGTGACGGTGGCCAAGGCTTCTTGACTCCCCTGCAGAGCTTCTTGTCTGCCTAGGTCTGCTGAGATTGCAGAGCTTATCATGTTTGATGGGCCGCCAATGAGGAAACCTGAGAAGAAAACAGAACATGCTTAATAGTAGCTAGCAGTGTACTTTCAACATTGTTCATCTGGGGAGAAAAATGTGCTACTGGATGAAGTTTTTTTTTGTATGAGACTCATTGGCTCTGACAAAGAGTTCCCACTACCAGTGCTACCAGATCTTCCCTTTTATTCGCAGATGTTTTTTGATTAAAAACAAAGCTGATGAAGATTTAGACCTAAAAAAAAACAGCAGTCTGTCGCACATCAATTCTACAGTACATTTTCAGTTTAAATTCCTCAGTGCCCCCTTGTAACTCGTTTTATGTAACTACAGATGAGGTTTAGTTTACAATGCAAATATAATTTCTGATGTGCTCCAGAATTATGCCAACAGTGGACCAATTTATGGACTGCTGCAGATGTTTGTTTCTCACCTGTAACTGCTAAAAGCACTCCATTTACCGCTTGATCATTTGGAGAGTCTGAGGAAGAAAATGAGTGAAAGACTGTAAAGTATACAGTAGTGTATGAACATGCAGGTTTTAATAGTGTATTTTACAGTGCAGCTCAGACTTACGGCTGTATCCTACTAAAGCTCCCATAGCTAGCAGCAAACTGACAGACAGCACAGGGGCCCTTTTACCGAGGAAATCAGAGATCAGGCCCTGCACTGTTCCACCTGAGAGAGAGAGAGAGAGAGAAAGAGAGAAAGAGAGAGAGAGAGAGAGAGAGAGGGAGAGAGAGAGAGAGAGAGAGAAAAATTATAATTCTATAACTACAAAATAAGACCATTTTAAAGAATTCTGTCCACAGACATTCAAGAACCATATACAATCAAAATCTCAAAAAAAGTAACGTCCTACTGAGCAATACTAACCAGATTTTGTCAAGCTGAATTCTAATGACATCACATATTGTTTTACTTCTTTCCTTTCAAAATAATCTTAAAAGCAGCTCAGAAATAAAAATGATGCTGGTGCAATAGCGATGATATTAAAAAAGTAATGGAACAGTTCTGAAATAAGATTTCAGAAGTTCCACTTACCAATGATCCCGCCCACGTCGTACCATACAGACAGCCGGTCTGCCTGAGCCTCCTTCCAGCTAAAGTTGTTGCTCAGATAGAATGGCAGCCAAAAGAAGAAGGAATAGTTCACCAGCTTTAGACAAGCATAGGCAAGAGAGTACTAGGAGAGCAGAGTAAGAGAAAACGGATCACAACCGTGTCAGTATACAGCAAGAAACAAGAATCAGCAACAATCTATATAACAGAGCCACTGAACATCAAATACATAAATAACAAGCTCATCTCCTATATCAGTAGAAGATTTTGTGTATGGCAGTGAAAGGCTCAGAAAATCCACTGTGGATAACAAGTAAGAGATTTCAAATCTCCTCTAACAAACACTCACTGGAAGGACTCCCGGCAGGCAGAAGGCCTGGAAGAAGCCGATGGCTTTGGTTTGAGACACAGGTTCCTCATCCCGCTGTTGTATAGAATAATAGCCTCCATCACAAACCACGTCTTCATCAGGCTCTTCATCATCACTCATGAGTGGCTGATGGCTGTCTGGGTCCCTTTCCACTGGTATCAGGCCTGTTGCAAAGCCATCACACAGACCTGAGAGCAAGAAGAGTTCATAGATGCAAAATCACTTCAAATATGACAAACATAACTAACATAGAGATTAAGATAATAGAAAGATTTGAGCAGTTAAAGAAAACATTTATAACCTTTCACTCATGTTATCCTATAGCAGCAAAACAGCTGAGATTTCAAGAATGAAAGTGTTGAGGCAGCAGTGGGGAACCCAGCGCCAGAGTCAGCACAGTTTGGTGATTTCCTTGCTTTATCACACCTACTAAACCTGCCAATTAACTACTGAGTTCAATCAGGAATAACACACACACACAAACATCCTCTAAACCGCTTATCCCTTTGGGTCGCAGTGGGGTGCTGGAGCCTATCCCAGCTGTCATTGGGCAGGAATAACAGAGCAGGAAAATCACTGAACTGTGCAGAAATCCACACCTCCAGGACAGGCGTTGCCCACATCCGTTTTAAGACAGGGGAGTCAAGTGAGGGTCATAACATGCGGTAAACTGTTACACTCCCAAAGTAAAATTTCACATCTGGATTATAGCTTGGTTAGCACTCATTTTAATAATGGCTAAATGTTCTATTTAAAATGGTCTAAATCAGCAATTTCTCTAGTATAAGTCAATGTGTAAAATGTATGCTATTTCCCAACATACCTGCTAAAGAAATCTGCCAATATCATGACTGACCAGGACAGGGTAGGCTATATTACATATTGTAAGGATACTGACTAAGGAAAAATAGGCCCACCCACATTTCTTACATGAACCAACATAAGTAGGGGAAACTTAAAAATTTGACTTTGTCCTGCATCCGCTTCCTTTTCCCTGAATTTTAAAAATGTCTTGTCATAATGTCTGTAATTTGTATGTCATCAAATTATTTTACACTCCTTCTACTGTTAGAACCTAGCGCCTCTTTGTTGTTAATACAAACTTGCTCATTAGATTTCTACACTATTGCTATTTATAAGAGAGAAATATAGTATCTTATGAAAAAGCTTGAAAAGTAAAGCACAAACAACCACTGAGTTATAGAGGCTGAGACAATAAAGTGGTACAACCCTTTTCGCACTCTCCCAAACATATATAAACTTGCATTATTGGCTTAGTCATATATTGGACCCGCTCTGTCTCGATGTATCGTTCTACATTTTTTGATACCAATTCCTGAACAATACGTTTTTCTATGATAGCCAAAGAGCAGTCTAGATTTTGGAATAGGAATGCTTATTGGCATACAGATGCTGATAACACTGACTACTCAGGTTCTAAAATTTGGTATTAAAATACAATAATCTTTCAGTAGTACCAAAGTTATTTGGTTGGTACCTTAAAAGTACTGCATTTTGAAACTCAGTCCATTAATGACGCTTTCATTTCATTTCAGCATGAAGACTGAAGACAAAGCTAAAGAGAGTTCTCCACATTACTGGGTAATACTTTAAATTAAAATTCAAACAAAGCTTATATAGACAAAACTTAAGTGTAACCAGTTGCCTTCAAAATTGGAAGCTGGTTTATCTCCATGAGTGTCAAATCACACTAGCCTAATTCAAAAGACAAGTATCACTTCAGTGATTTGCAATGGTGGCCTGTACTGGATCGGATATATGAAACCCATCACCCAGTTATAAGTGAAATGGCTTTAATGATTAGTGTCAGTAGAGTTGCTAAAAAAGTGAAAAATGCATGTTACTACCTACATCCCAACCTAAATACTTAACACACAAAAACAGTGCAAGCTACTATAAATCTGAGCATAGTTTCGGTAACCATGCACAACTGTAGTGTAACTGCAGTATGTGGAATACAAACAGAGGTTTCTAAAGGCAAGTGGACAGAACGTAAAAAGGGGTGCAGCCTTCTTCTGCTACTTACCCACTTCCTTTGGAGACGTGAGCAGGCCAAAAAACACAACCACTCCACCTGCAAACTGCACCACTGACGTCACCAGGAAAGCATACTGAAAACACACACAGAAACATGTAAGTGTCCATTTCCTGCATGAGACTTATCAAGTTTCTTTTATTCAAGTGATTTCCTGTGACAAAAGTCCCTTGTGGTTAGAATCAAGAACCAAGAGGGCTGGGCAAGATGCTGGAGGGAAACTACATTACAGAAAAAAGACAATCTATGGCAAGTAGCACTTCCCAAAGACCCATATACGAGGAAAGACAGAGAACAGATGGACTACTGAGCGTCAACAAGTAATTCCTGTCCTACACTCACCTCATAGCCATACTTGAGGACACTGGAGGCCAGGAACGCTCCCAGAATATTCCCCACTGATGCGCAGGCACTCCACAGGCCGAACACAAAACCTCGGCTAACAGAAAGCATACACACAACCTAGAATAAGTTACACAAACAGTTCAAAAAAACAAAAGGCAATTCAGACTGCTAGAAATGTAGTAAGAATGGGTGGGGTGGTTTGGCAAAAAAATGACTCATTATACTTGAAGACAATTTCAAGATAGACTATGATGTATCATAGTATTTTGTTTTCTTGAGGAAAAACACTAGTGCTACACTGAAGAACGCTATGAAAAACTATGATTATAATTGTTTCTCAAAATTCACCTGTTTGCAAAAATAAATTATTTAAAAATTAACAGAAGGATTTATACATTTGTAAAAATGAATAAATAAAATAAGAAAATTCCAAAGTTTGTCATCTGATTAACCACTTTGTTATTTTGTAGTTATTATATTATGATTGTTGTTTACAGGTTGTTTGTGACTGATCTAAATCTGTCTTCTTATGACACATAAAAAGTTGTTCAGTGTTCCTGACGATATCCATGATATATTTATTATAACAACAACAACATATTGTTATATGTTATCACTATCTGGTCATACTAGTAGTACAACAGCAATTTGCAATTTATGTCCCAAAGACAAACCCAATCTGACTACCTTTGATACTGCAATACGGTAAAAATCTCACACTGACACACACCCAGATTTACCAAACCAGTTGCCCATGACAGCCACCACACAGGGCCATACTGCAGACTGAAGCAGGCCATTTAGCACCCACAGACAGCAGTAGAAATACACATTATAAAAGTGCAGCCACTCCGTCAGAGTGCCAAACAGGAACTCCTATAGAGATACAAGCACATGAAAAGAGAGACAGAGGAATATTTTCATTTATGTATGGCATATGGTTCTGTCTATTTCTGTGTTGTATTGTAGTATAATGTTTTTTATTGTAAAGATCTCCAATGTACTGAAATATAACCAGTCTAAAAAAACATTATTTCAAAAATACTAACGTACCACAATAGCTGAACCACACAGTCCAGCAGAGAGAACATAACGAAGGTTCAGACGATCACCTATCACCCCACTGATGTACAAGCCCTTGGGAAAACAACACAACACAAATGTTTTGACACAAATAATACGTGGTAGTAAAACAAGAAGAAATGAGGGCAGCCGCAGTAGTTGATTAGCATGAGTTTAGAAACCAGCATTAAGACACTGTATTTGGGGAACAAACCCAGTACAAGGTTAGGGCTGACAATATGCGAAAAATAAAGCACTATGATACTATGACATTTCCACACAATACACAAAATATATCACTATTAGGGCTGTCAAAGCTAATACGTAATAACGCATTATGCAATCAATTATTAACTGTATTACTAACACTGTTAACATATTTTCCTAATTTGACCCTTAACCATCCATTGTAGTGCAGGCTGATGCCCAGCTGTTCATACAAATACAGCTTTAAATGGCTTTTAAATCAATAATTTCACCACCTTCTGGAGACTACACTTTTATTTTGATTGTTCTGTTAGTGACAAAATGGAATTTTCAATCATTAATTTTAATAAAATAAACATAATTAAGATAAAGGGTCACTCAAAGCCAAGTCTAAGTCAGTTAAACGTCTGAAATGTGTTCTCCACTTTGACTTTGATTCAGTGAACCAATTCAGTAGAACGATTCATATACATTATACAGTTGTCGGTTGGAACATGCAGCCACTGTTGCTCTCACTGGACATTGGTCTATGGATCAGTCCATGGAAATCACAAGATTTTCATGCTCAGGTTGAAGTGAAAGCTGATTTCACATAATGAAAAGAGTGTTACTGAATTACTGAAAGTAATAAATATATTCTAACAAAGCTTATTTTGTCCATACAGTTATAACAGAATTTGTTTTTTTTGTTTTTTTACATTGAAAACATCTTTCTTTAGAGTTAAATCTGAGCAAATAAGACAAATGTAATTAATCACAAAAGTACACAAAATAATTTAATTAATAATGATTCACTATTTTTACTGTGCCCTGCGATGGCCTGGCGACCTGTCCAGGGTGTATCCTGCCTTTTGCCCAATGACAGCTGGGATAGGCTCCAGCACCCCACCGCGACCCAGAAGGATAAGCGGTTTAGATGATGTATGTATGTATTTTTACGGTCAGACAGTCCTAATAATTACTTTGATATTTAGCTATGTTTCCTTTCTCTGAGGTTTATAAATATACATGTACCTCATCTCTCTGTTTTTGTCATTTTTAAGTTTTTGACATAATTTGAAAATGCCTGTTGCCCTTTAGATTGTGTGTAAATTTCATTAAGAAATGGACCAAAAGTCCTTGGACAAAAAGTATGGTTCCATTGACTTACATTAAAAGTTAAGTATGTTTTGTATATATGTTCCTCCTCCTGTGAAATTATCATTTTGGAGATACGAGGTCCGACAGCAGCGATATATATATATATATATATATATATATATAATATATATGTGTGTGTGTATATATATATATATATATATATATATATATAGTTTTTAAACAACTTAGAATGGACAAAAAAACAGAAAACATCTACACTGCATTTAAAAAAGTGCCAGTGCTAATTATCTTTTTAATTCAGTGTTTGCAAAAATGAACCATTATAGAAAAAAGAGAAGGAATTATGGAAAAATCGAACTTTTTGTAAAATTAAACAAATGAAATAATGACGACAAAACTCAGTCATCCAGTCAGCTTCTTGTCACTATGCACTTCATACAGTTACTACAGAGTGCCGTTGTTTACAGGCTTTCTATAATTGGTATAAAGCTGTCTTTTTATGATACATGTAGTTGCTCGTGTTCTAAGTGCTGATGTTATGCTCTTGTCACAACGTAATTTATTGCGATATTATGTCATCACATTGCCCGACCTCTGGCACATGCATGCAGCGTCTCAGCTGTGTCTGCATGTATTACATTACTTGCCTTTCCGTGTGTGTCCGTGCATTAGAGTAAGCCTTCAAAGGTCTGAGTCATAAGTCATGTCTGTTTACAACTGGCAGAGGGTAGTGTGAGTGTTAGCTGAGTACTCCTTGACAGCACACACTGTGCTTCCAGCATTACTGTGTTTCATGTTTATATCCAAGCAGTAATTGCAGGACATAAGCTCTTAAAGAATGTGTCTTTTCAAATATTTATTGCTCCTGCTCTTGACAGTCTGGACACATTCTGTAGCTGTAGCAGCTGTAGCATTTAGAAAGCTCTGCGGAACTAGCCACTATTATACAGCAAACAAACCCTCATTGTGTTCCTCGTCCTCCGTCACTCACCACGGCATAGGAGAAGAGAAAGATGGTGTCCAACGCACCCAAGAACAGTGTGGCCTCCCCATTGTCTGCAAACAGCTTATTCTCTTCCCATGTCTGTCAGAGTCAACACAGATCAATAACAAAAACCAACATTGAATCATACAGTCTTCTTTAACACTCTGAAGTCACAGCTCCTGCCAGCAATAACAAAAGCATGGTGTAATTCTATATTAATTATGTATTATTCATATCTCTATGAAACAGTAAATTCAATTACAAGTGCAGATTCTAGGCTTTAAAATGAATACCACATTTGTTGAAATAGAATGTAAATCTAATGTAAATGTAACTGTTTGTGAGGTAAAATAGTGGGAAAATGCCTCCTTAAGGACAATGTCCATTTTCTTTAAAGCTAAATCAGATCTGTGCATGAGTTCATCATGAACAGGATGATGCTTACAACTACACTCTTTAAAAAATAGTTCTTTAGTAAAGAAAATGGCTATATTTAGAACCATGAAGACCCCTTGCATGATTGATTCTTCGCATTGTGAAAGTGTTCTTCAGACTGATGGAGAATATACTACATATGGCTCTATATAGCACCTTTTTGAAAAAGGTTCTATATAGCACCAAAACGGGTAACAATCATTTGTAACAAAAATTACATAAAATTTCAGAAAGGTTCTACTTAGAACCATTTTCTTTAGGAAAGAACCCTTGAAGAACCATCTTTTGAGTGTACACACAGTTAGAGAAAACTAACTGGAACATTATTACAGGAACTGGAACAGCATTCAGTATTTAATTGTTAGGTGTAAATGATTATTAGGCAGAACGTGACAGAACAGATCAGGTGTAAACGTAACTCTGTTCAGCTGCTAAACTCATATATAAAATCATCTTCAGCAAGATGACTAAAAAGGCTTCCTAATTTTAGCTAATGATCGCTGCAGATAACATGTAAACTAGTTCTAGCTACCAGTAAAACTCTAGTGAATAAATTAAAAGTTATAAAAATGAAAATCATAACTAATTATCACTAAGTAATATACTTGTGGGAACGTGCTAAGCTGGCCTTTTGCCCCTTGTCTGGAGGGGGACGTCTTTCCCCAAAAGGTTTCCAGCGTAATAAATCCTTGGAATGCAGAGACCCAGATGAAATTACAGAACAAAGTAGAGCGTGGTCATTCAGTAAATGCCTCTATATTTAATTTGGCCCTATCATTTAATCAGGAGAGAAAACAAGTGTTGGGGTCACCCTATAACTGCCCTATGAAGTTACCCTATAAAGTTGCTCCATAAGTTACAGTGTAATTAAGTAAATAATTACATAATTACATAATTCGAATAGTGTTCCAAAATGTCAGTAATAACTACATTTAACTACAGTAATATAAGATAATTTGCCTGGTACTCTGAAGGTTTACTCTGACTGCTCCACTTATATATATGTATTCTGCTGGTTATGCTTTCTAACTTCTCTTATGTTGTCATACTTTAATAGTGAACAATTAGACGAATGTTTGTAATATTCTCTCAAAAATGAGGTTTGCTTTAGTTGCTAATAAATGGTTTATGTTCTACAAAATGGCAAATAGGCTTTGGTTTTAGCTGCTAAAAATTGTTTAGGCTCTAAAAAAGAACAGAAAACAGGGTTTGGTTTCATTTGCTCAGTAGCTCATAGTGGCTCTAGGCAGCACAGACAAAGAGAGACTCTGTCTGTGTGTGTGTGTGTGTGCGTGCGTACCTCCCCAGGGGAAAAGGCAGGTGAGCTGGCGTTCTGCACTGAAGGAGTCCACTGTGCGGAGATGCTAACTTTTACATTACTGAATGTCTTACGGGAGGCGTGCAGCAAGACATAGCTGTGTGAGCGCAGAATGGATCAGGAGGAAACACAAAAGAGAACAGAGAAAATTACAGATGATAACAGACACAAAGACTGTTTAACTGTTTTTTTTTAAACAAATCCACCATATTATAACAAGATCTTTCATTCATAGTTGATTTTAACAGACCAGCAGCTAAATTATATCGGCAGGTAGATGAGACATTTACAGCATAATTAAGTTTATTGCTGGGTTGGATTATGGGTGGCTGCATGATCTGATGGCTGCATACATCAACAGCACAGTGTAATGTTTTAAGCCAGTGCAGTGCTCAACAGAAAAATACTGCATATCTTTAAAAAATCCCTATCGAATATGGTCTGGATTTTCTTTAATCACTTAAACTCTAAAGCTTTACATTATGATGGTAGATGTGTGACAGTAAACAAGATATTCTGTTTTTCTGGGGAGCAACAACAGAAAATTCTGCCACAGTGGCCAACAGAACATTCTGGACACAATTTTTCTGAATTTTTGCTGTTAGATGCAGTGGATGAATGAAGAAAACAAACCAGAAAAACCCTCAAAAACCACACACACAAAGAAACCTACTGAAAAATCATTTGCGTGTTCAAACTAGTCTGTGGAACAGCACAGTGGATGGCAACAACATTGTCCTGCACCCGAACATCATTATGGAAATGTTTACACTGCTGCACAATGCTACTGGACACGTACTTACGCAACAACATTTGTTTCCGGTTAACATGTAAACACAGCTTAAGGGACTTTAATGTAAACCCCCACTTCCTCATTCTCATAACAACAAAGTTTAAATATTAGGCCTCATCCACACGTATTCAGACACTTATAAAAACATAGGACCTCATTCACCAACATCTTTTTAAGTTTTAAAAGTCTACGTCAGATTCATGATGTGTTCTTAAACTGCAGAACTGTTCACACCTTTGCGCTTTTGAGTGTGCATAGATTCTGTTCTCACCTCAGAACAAATCCTAAATAAGAAAACATTGGTGAATGTCAATTTTTTTCTTAAGAACGCTTGGTGAATGAAATTCACTGGTTTTCCCTCAGTTTTCTGTATATCTCTACATCCACATGAGATCGTAAAAATGACTGGAGAAGACTGTGAGCATATGCACTGCACAAAATATCAAGTGTGTTAAAGCTAAAGCAGAAATTTTCTTACAACATGACTTTGACCTGCAGGCCTTCGGAAAAGCTTTAAAACCCATGTCTACTCATTTTCATGATTTTCTTTTAAGTCTTATCTATAGTTTTTGTGCTGTTTTTAATATGAACTGGCAGAAAAACAATGTTACTTCTGTTTTCTGATGAGAGATTTTTTAATTTATTTTTTTCTGCCGTTTTCTTTTTGTTTTTCTTTTGAGTAGAGTGGAACTAAATTTGGTGCAGGTGATGTGAGATCTACCAAAGCACCAATCAGCAATGTGTATATGTTAGCTACTTGTTTTCGTCATCAAATTCAATGATAAATAAGATTATAACTCTCAAATTGCACCTAAACTGCTGAGCACACAGAAACAAAAATCTCAAAAAGTTTTCAAAAATCTCCACCCCTAGAAAGCATTTTCAAAAAAGTGTTTCCAGTTACCAAAAACGCCAGTTTGGTGTGGACTGGAGGCCAAAACACAGAGGAAAAAAAATGGATATGTGTGGACGAGGCCTCAGGTTCATAGTAGTTACTGAAAAAAAAGAATAATATCAAAACAACAAACACAGGGTTCAAAGGGGTAAAAATTATCACATGGACTGGGGAAGAGGACAAAATACTACTGTAAACACACCGGCAAAAATTCACACAATACAGGAAGGTAACATACAGCAGGGATCAAATCTCAACCCTTTCACAAAACAATGTTTTGTGGTTTCCAACATTACAAATGACATTCCAGCTCTACGTACAATGATGGCATTTATCCAGCGGCTAACAAAACACTTTATAAACTACTTTCAGATCAGCCCTCTGTCCAGCAACTTTTCAGCCTCTGGGCAGTTGTTTACATGCATTACAAAAGCTGTAAGGAAATTTGTAATGAAACTCAAGGGGTAAAATGACTACAACGTTCTATGTTGAGTTTCAGTGGCAAATTCCTAAAAGTAAATGCCTGTTAGTCTCAAACTAAGTCCCTACAAATTGCGATCACTCTCCAGACGCACTGTGCAGCATAATGCAAATATCAATATAATGGTATCAGTGTCGCACCAGGATATAAATTATGAATTATATCCATAATAACATTATATTCTACATATTTATTAGGGTTCAATTGCATTTTGTGCACTTTGCACATGGAGTCTAGCACCTAACATTTAACTGTAAAGTATGTAATTGGCTGCGGGATCCAGATATACTCAAAATGCACAAAAACTAAACAAATATTAAGTTTCCTTTTAGGAAATCTGAAAATCTGTAATGGGTTAACATTTGCAATAATGTGTAAAGATCCCTTTGGTATAATTTAAGAGAAGGAAGCAGAGCATGTGTAGTATGTTTGGAAAATATTGTATATTGTATTGTATATTGATGTATATTGGCCATATCTGGGCAGATGTGGGTGCAGGACACCTGATTCTACTTGTTTAATTGGTCAGTCTTAGTCTTGAACTCCTGCTTTGTTGCAACAAAATCTGCAGCCACATCAGCCACTTACAAATAAGCCAGGACAGCCCTGATCTATATGATCCAGCATTACTGTCTAGTAATTGTTTTACCCTGAGCTAGCTGTACCATCTCAACTTAAGAAGGCACTGATGATGACTGTTCGCCCAGCAAACAGCATTCAGCCTACCTAAAGAAGGTGAGGAGGAACGCGACCAGGTGATGGTGGGTGTACTGCGACAGGAAGGCGCAGCCGTGGGGCCACATCACTGGGGTCTCAGAAGGATGTGGAGGTGGTGAAAGAGGAGGGGATGAAGGTCTTCAGGAGAAGGGAGAGGGAACAGCACACTAATACATCATCCGGGGCTACAGACACAAACACAGTTCACAGAGCACATCTACAGAATTCCCTTCACTTTTTGAAACTACAACTGCACTGGAATCCATTATGATCAAGATAACAAAATTCTTCCTGAAAGGAAGGATGTGAAACTCGTCTGGTTTTTCTGACCGCACACGTGTGACACTGTATGACACCAGCAAAATATTCAGTCTGACATTGAACGGTAAGAAATTTAGCCACTCGTGAACCTTAAGACTTAGTCTTCATTTTCAAAGGTATTTAATGTATCATGTAATGAGTTTGTCTTGGAGCTCCTGTCCCCATTAGCCTTGGGTTCCTTTCACTAGAGGACACGGCTTTTCGCACATTCATCCAGAGAAAAAGGAGTGGACAAACTTTTTACACAACTACATGTTGGCAGCAATATATCAATTCATTGCCCACACTTACTACACAACATAGACTATATTCTCTTTACCAGTACACCGTGATACTGACATAGTATGAGTTTGAGCTTTAGCGCTATTGATAGTAATAAACACTACTACTAACTCCGCTTATATCAGAGTAACACTTTAATTATTCAGAAATTTAGAAACAATGGTGGAATTCCCCCTTTGACGTTTATAATACTGTGTTAGGTTCCCTTTGCTAGGTTTGTAACACATTAACTTAACAGTATTCAGGAAGCATGGCTCGTTCACATCACTCACGTTAACCTAAATATCATCTGAAACACACTGATACTGTGACAAGTTTGGAAAATATCGCGATTCTGATTTCTATCAAAAACGTCCAGAAGCATTACTCGATATAGCTGGCTGACCAAAAAGCTGACCCAACTGAGCATTAAAATATCAGTAAATATTATAAAAGCAAAGTTAAAGAAAAGGAGAAGGTATCAGTGACGGCTTTAAATGTTTTTACACAATAGCGACCTAAACATGGCTCACACCTCTCCTCAAGCCAAACCTCACAGAAAACGTACTTGGAGAAATTAGCAAGAGCCCATGGAACTATATAATAGGGGCCGTTGTTACGCGAGCAAGTTAGACAGCAGTGACCTTATACCAGAACTACAAAACAAAAATAACAACAAAACAACCTTAAATGACGAGCCTGAACCCATTCAGCTCCTTATTCACCAGCTTCTCTTCGATTTTTCTCGTTCCACCTTAAATGGTGCAGCAGTTACATTCAGGATAAAGCGAATAAGAAGCTGACCTCAGCTTCGTGTTTAAATGACAGTTCACTATTCTGTAGAAATGAAGAGCTTCATAACTGAACTAAATGAAGGCTGGCTTGTTCGTCTGCCTTGTAGTTTGGCTTATGGCTCACGTTAGACTCCTGTATTCTGCAGCTGATTATCTGTACTGACAGGATTGTTATGCAGTTATTCTTTATCCTCGTCACGCTGAACAACTGTGTAACATATTGAGGTGTGACAGCTGGTTTTACCTTTATTTTTCCATAAGCGCTCTTCGGGCTGCCTTTCAGATGTTGATGACTAAAAGAAAAGTGTCAGGAAGTGACGTCGAGGCTCCGCCCTCTCAGCTCTGCTAACAAACAAAAGTCCTGTATTCCGTATCGGACTACATTTTTTGCTTTTCTAAACCACTGTCCGCGTATTTTACCTTCATTATTTCAGTTTTTCTTTTAGGTCTTTCTTTATGATCCAACTAATTACATTCGATGTTACATTGCTGTATAATGTCGTTACACCAGTGAGGTATATCAGCTTTATAACCTTGTAGTCCTTCTGTTATGACTGTTCTTCTTAACTAATTATAATACATTATATAATATTATGGTTCCATTAGTTTCTAAATTCATATATATACACACACACAGACATTACTGTGCAAAAGTTTTAGATATCTGACAAAATTAGATTTTAAAAGCTATTTATCTAGTCAGCAAGTGTTTATTCACTCAGAAAATACAGAGTACTGATACAATAAGTAATGAATTTATGTATGTCAGTGTTCGTTTAACCATTTCCATATAGTATATAGTATATATAAGATTTACATAAAATAAGTCATTGCTATTTCCGATGTTTCCGAGTGAAGCAGAGAATGACGGAGGGTCTCTAAGCTAGCTGATCATTTTCACTTGATTGGTTGGGCAGTGGGAGGTGGACGTGATATCATGATATTATTTTTCTTAAAATACTAGTGCACTGTAATGTAATCAAAACTTAGATTTTTTTTTCCCCAAAAGTCATTTTACTCAAAAATGATGGGAAAAACAGAATTATGAGGGGAAAAAAATGTCAACTTTGATTTCTGTTAATGATACTTATTTTATTGCATAGTCACAACATAAAAAAATATTTAAGCATTTGCATCTTTTACAGACATATTGAACTCAGCATCATAGCTCCTAAGACCAGTCTGCTCCTATCTTGGTCTCCTTTTTTTGAACCTCTTTTGTATTGGTCTTGATTATAAGCCTTAATCACATTTTAAATGTACTTTAAAAACATAGTTAAAAATTAGCATAATTTCCTTAATGCACAAAAAATCCAATCCTACTGGGATAAAAAATCTGGTCCTCCCCAAAGGCTTGGAGCAGACACAACACTGCTAAGAGCAGGCATATTTAAGAGACAAACACAATTAGGCCAATCTAAAAACAGAAATCAATGATTTATTGTCATTCCAGCACTTTTTACATTTTTTTTTTTACAGTTCATGATAAATGCCACAGCAAAACTGGATCCACACCTATTCTCACATCTCAGGAACACCTTTATGATTATAGGGCTTTCAGTTTACAGAGTAATGAAAGTTCAACACTCTCAGTTTAAATATTTTCACTGCTTTGGTCACCACCGTGGCACTGCATGTGTCTCTTCAAGTGGCCGCGGCGCGTAAAGCTCTTTGGGCAAGCTGAACACATAAAGGGTTTCACGTCGCTATGGCTGTACAAGTGCTCATTCAAGCAGCGTCTCCTCACGAAAGCCCTTCCACAGACTTCGCAAACATAGGGTCGTAGGCCCGTGTGTGACCTCATGTGTATCGTACGATGACTCGATACTATGAAGCTTCTTCCACATATGCTGCATGGATAGGGCTTCTCTCCAGTGTGGCAGCGCCGATGCACCTGCAAACATCCAGCAGAACTGAAAGCTTTTCCACATTCCAAGCACACGTAGGGCTTCTCTCCGGTGTGCAACCTCGTGTGGATGGTGAGGTTTCCGAGACTGTGGAAGCATTTCCCGCAGTAAGAGCAGCAGTATGGCCTCTCTTTCGAATGGGATCTCATGTGGGACTTGAGCTGAGACCTGCTGAAAAATTTCTTTCCACAGCTTAAGCAACTGTGAGGCTTTTCCCCCTGTGTGATTCGATATGTGAGCCAGTAAGCCTTGCAGAGTGGCGAAACACTTGCCACAGTGGTCGCACTGGTGAGGCCTGAACTCCGGATGGGTTTTCAGGTGGTTCCGCAGCTCAATCACGGAAAACGTCTGGCCGCAGAATCGGCACTCTCCTGGGGGACGCTTTGCAGGCTTTGCGGCTTTATTCTGGTCAGTTCTGCCTTGCCCATGGGCCTTGTGGGTTTCCATATGGCTCAGAAAGTCTGATTTCTGAGAGAACGTTTCCCCGCAAGCGATACATTTATATGAATCCAGCAAACGCTCACTCACCAAGTGGTTATGAACCTTGGAATGATTCACCAGAGACTGCAGGGATATGCATTCTTTCCCACAGTCAGTACACCGGTGCACTGTTTGGTCTTTGTGTTCTCTACGATGCATCAACCAAGCCTTCATAGACTTGAAGGTCTGATCACAGTGGGCACAGGAGTATGTTATCTTGCTGTGCCACTTGCGCTGGTGCACGGATGCCTGGAAATATGTTTTAAAGTTCAGTTTACAGGGCTGACATTTGTAGGGGCCCTTTTCTGTGTGCCTTCGCATGTGCGCTCTCAGTTCTACCTGACACCTAAAAGATAACCCACACTCAGAACACTGATGTTGCCTCCTTAGCTGTGTTCTCTTTGTTTGAGTTTTGCAGCCATTTCCTAGAATAAAAACAGCAGAAAAAGAATAACACCATGAAAATCTAGAAAATAAAATCATAAAGACATTTAAACAAACATTTATACACAGATGTATATTCTATACATCACTTATACTAAGGGTGTAATGATTTCACAAAAAATAGAAGTCTCACATATGACAAAGAAAAAGAGAAATTATGGCTGAAAGTTTAAGAAGTACACTTTAGGCACATTATCTTGTAAGGTACAACTGTACCTTAAAGCACTGGAGAAGAAAATAGGCTGGTATTGATTGTAAAGCAGCAGAGCGGTCAGTAAACGTGCGAAGATGAAGTTATCTAACGTTCTCTGTACAGGAGCCAGAATGTAACTGTTGCACTGTTTAAGGTGGAATGAAAAGTAAAAAAAAATAAGCCAATTTCAGCCTCACAGTAAACTGTAGCTTTCCCTCCATGTCAGTGTTCTGACAAAGCAAACTACAACCTGAGGATGCGAAGTTCACACTGTGTTTATCAGAATCAACTAGTAACGTTACCCTTATAAAAATCACTAAAGCTCATCATGTTACATTTATACGTTAGTCACTGTTCTAAGCCGTATTGGTTTCTGTTAATTAGAGGCACTTATCAGCTACCTCAGAAAACTGCTGAACACTCAGCAGCTCATCCCATCACAGCATTATAGATCTTAGATAGCTAACTATGTACACTATGTACAACTATGTACAACTAGTTAATTAGCTTAAAAATGCCTTCCGCTCATACAGGAAACCTGTTCACTCAAAGCTTATCTAGTGAACTAACGTGTTAAAATGTAAATAATAATACTAATATATAATATTTATTATTATATCTCTTATTTTTAGCGATTGTTTATTATTTACTGCTTGAAAATCATGGGCAGACAAACAAAAGCACTTCAGATTTGCTTCTGTTGTGGTAATTTAGCTCTTGGCACAGAATGCCTCAGTTTGTCAGAACATCGCCAAACATTTTGTTGTTATAGCTTTTCACGTTTACAGGCCACATTTAGGCCAATAAATCAATTATTAGTTGATTCATTCAAGAGAATAATCAACTATCAAAATACCTTTTTTTATGCAGCCCTTTAAATAACATTACATTAGTTACATTAATCTGAACTGCCATGTCGGTTAAATACCCTCCAGAATTTTTTCCTTGAGTCTGAAAGCATTAGAAGAAGCATTTACTTGTATTCTCTGCAGCCCAAATCAGGCAACTATGTACTGTCCTAACTCAAGTGTATGACTCTAAATATTACAACATGTGAAATAACAGAAGAAAAGTTTCAGATTGTAGATGAAAGCTAGTGACAATGCTCGTAACACACTCTGTCCAGGAAAACTAAATCATGACTAAATGAAAAGTTTGGAATGTGTGAGCAGCTGAACGTGTTGTGTTTGGAGCTCTTCTTGGTGTGACGGCAATGCATAAATCGAGTGGCCACTCCCATCTTTGTAATTTACACTGAAATTTTTTATCTTGTGAAAATCAGTGATAAACATTACAGACATCTTGTGGTGTGGAGCTGGTGTTACAGAAATGAGTGCTGTATTACACTTCCTGCAACATAAGCTCAAGAAGTGTTGCAGGAGTGTTGGCCTTTAGTGTGGATGTAATATTTTTCGTATTTCACCAACTTAATGACTTCTTAATTCAGAGGATCAGTATCATCCAGATGAAAAACATACACAGGACAAAACAGGCTTTGAACATTTCTGTTTACCACAGGGCAGCAGCTATTTTTAAAAAATGCCATTAAGTTGTCCCATAAACAAAAACAACTAGGCATCTGGGAGCATACCATCAGAGCCATTTGTTATAACTACATATGTGGACTAAATAAGCTTCAGAAGAATGTATTTATTACCTTCAATAATTCAACAACCCTATTTTCATCATGTAAGCACAACATCACGTCAATCAGACCATGAAAATCACAAGATTTTCATTGAATGAAAGATCAAACTAGTAAAATGCATTAATTATTAATTAATTATTTAGCGAGTTAATGTATTATTACCATGTTAACTTTGACACAAGTATTATTATTATTTATAATGAAATACATTAAATGTTTCTTACCTGAAGAAGGAGAAGGAGAGAAGGAGGAGGATGAGGATGTCTTTAAAACTTCAGGTCTCAATCTGTCAAAAAAGTAATTATTATTTTTTAACTTCTATTTTTTGTGAAATGTATTTGTCTCTGTTTTAAAAATAGGTCTACTTGCATGATTTATGTAAACACACTCACTTAAGCGGTCCTGATTCACTGGTCATGCAGCGTGAGAGTGAAACAGAAGGCAGCTGGACTTGTTTAATTACTGATATCAGATGCCTCGGAACAACCACTTTAAGCAGAGGCCCAGCGCCAATCGCAGGTGCTTCATCAGCAACTTCAGTCCCTCCTTCACTAACGTCCCTCAGATCTGAATTTGTACCAGAGATCTCTGAACTTGGCTCAGGTCCAGCAACTTCAGCTGATGCTTCATTCTCAGGCCTGTCCAGCTCTGTC